TATATATACAGTAAGTTCATGTTAGCTAATGCATTATCTAATGTTAACAAATGAGAGTTTTATCAATAATCCAAAAATAGATCAAATAAAAGTTCTCTCTTTAGAGGCAGTTCAGAGCGTTTGTAACCCAGCTTTATATGACACTTGTTATAACTAGATAAGAAAAGTTTATCTTGATTGTCTTGCTTTATGTAAAACCAACACAATTACTACAGACTCTTCAAGAATCAATTTTACATTCACAACATGAACAATATGAATGCAAATATGCCATTTTTCAGATTTAGCTCAATGCTGATGATATGTGAAATATATTATGCACTGAAAACCAGACACACACCTGATGGAGACCTCAAACAAACACTACACGTATGAAACCACAAACACACACCTACTCAGTGCTGATGATATGACAAATAGTAGGTAACCACACACACACACCAGAAATGCACTCACATATAGCGATCTGGTCATCAGGTTTGTTCAGCAGCATGCGTTCGTTGCACCCTCGTCCCGTACAGGCGCACAGACGGAGGTTAGGGGTGTTCATGTTTCTGACCGACAGCACACAGTCTGAGCTGCTGTAGTCGTCCAGCATCACGCCGTTCAGCGGCCGCGTCCGGTCATGACACTTCGTCTCCACCGTCACAACTCCAGCCTCCCTCCACCTAAAAGAGACAGAAATAGCAATCACAGCTCGCAGTTCATGCAATCACTAGCATACTACTCATACTTATTCTGCACTTTGCATTATGTCTGCACAGTATGGAGCTTTTCTGCATGAGTCAATATCCTGATGATCTACTACATTTGTCAAAATGCGCAGTATTATAACAGAACACAATGTGTGTGATAAGGTATCCTAAAATGCAATGAGCTCAACCTTTCATTTCCAGTGTTATTAAAAAATGGAAGTGAAATTAACCATAAAATCACATCAGACTGTCAAAAGTGGGCTGAAAATTTTATATATACATATATGTGTGTGTGTGTGTGTGTGTATGTATCTATGTGTGTGTGTGTGTGTGTATATAGAGAGAGAGAGAGAGAGCGAGAGAGAGAGACTATATGTGACCCTGGACCACAAAACCAAAAAAAAAAAATAAGGGTCAATTTTTCGAAATTGAGATTTATAATCATCTGAAAGCTGAATAAATAAGCTTTCCATTAATGTATGGTTTGTTATGATAGGACAATATTTGGCCGAGATACAACTATTTGAAAATCTGGAATCTGAGGGTGCAAAAAAATCAAAATATTGAGAAAATCATCTTTAAAGTTGTCCAAATGAAGTTCTTAGCAATGCATATTACAAATCAAAAATTAAGTTTTGATATATTTACGGTAGGAAATTTACAGAATATCTTCATGGAACATGATCTTTACTTAATATCCTAATGATTTTTGGCATAAAAGAAAAATCAATAATTTTGACCCATACAATGTATTTTTGACTATTGCTACAAATATACTCCAGCGACTTAAGACAGGGTCACGTATGTGTATATGTAGAATAAGCGAATTGACTGTGAGACAGCAAGAGCGTGTAAGTGTTTTGCTTAATACAAGTTTTCTGTCTATTAGAGTAAATATCTGCTAGTTGGGAGGATTGATTCGTTTCTTTTCTAGGCCGATATGGCTAGGAACTATACTCTCATTCCGGCGTAAATGCCTGAAAATAGTCCCCAGCATGCTTCCCTGTGCAAGCAGGTGGTCACGTTGGTTATGCTGACAGAAGTTAGCCTATTTTCAGGTGCTGCGTAATATCATTGCGCCTGCTGCACCCATGGTACGGCAGCAAAGTTCCTTGATTATTATGCCGGAATGAGAGTATAGTTCCTAGCCATATCTAGGAGATGTTTGCATTAAGATGTTTCTCAAATTATCTTCTTTTATGTTCCATAGTTTATGTTAGGCTGTTGTAGCCTAAATGTTTATGTGTAATAAATGTTATATTAAATCAAATCAAATATTTCTTTCTAAAGCTACTATTTGTAATGTCTACTTAATACTTTCTCATTTAACCCAAAAAAAAAAAAAAAGTTTAAATAATCTTTTGGGGGTATTTTCACAGCCAAATGTAAATTGCGATTATTAGATTAATTAATCGACACATCATATAATTAATTAGATTCAAAATTTTAATTGACTGACAGCTGATGATGATTAATGGATGCCACAGTGAATTATGAAATGTTCATCATTAAAATGTGCTTTCACTTTCACATGTTATTCAAAAACATAGTAGCTAGTTCACAGTATATGCTACACTTTTAACAGTTGCGTATATGCTACACTTTTAACAGTTGCGTACTGGGTACTGGGTCCAGTAAACAGTAGTTTAGTAATAGTAAGAGAAACAGTAAGTCAGTTATGTCCAGTCAGCTGATTTACACCAGCGTTTGTGTATTTTGGGTCGTTGTTCCTGTATCTTCTGCTGCATGGAAAGTGAAACAAGCTCATGTTGCGTTTTCCATTTTCATGTAATAATCACAACTACAAAACCCATAATGCAGCAGTGTACAGGTTGGTTTGCATCTATTATACATCTACATCTATATCAAAGATGGTTTAGAAAAAGAGTTTTGTCATTTAACGTCACAGGAGAAACTTTTAAAGTTCTCTGGTTCTTTTTATCCAACTATATTCTGGTGCCTTAAAGAACCTTCATGTATCTGTAAAGAACTTACTGTAAAGGATCATTCACCCAAAAAATGCAAATAAGGGAGTGTAAATTATCCATTTTTAGGTGCACTATCCCTTTAAGAATGATTCAGGTTGAAAACGTTTTGGTTTTATTTTGAAAAAGGCTTCTTTGCTTCAAGACGCTCGCTTTAATGTCATTTCTTAAAAGAATAGTTCAGCCAAAAATTTTAATTAGCTGAATATGTTCTCACCCTCAGGCCATTCAAGATGTAGATGAGTTTGTTTCTTCATCAGATTTGTAGTGTCTCAGCAGTGGATGCTCTGCAGTGAATGGGTGCCGTCAGAATGAGAGTCCAAACAGCTGATAAAAACATCACAATAATCCACAAGTCATCCACACCACTCCAGTCCATCAGTTCACATCTGGAGAAGCTAAAAGCTGCGTGTTTGTAGGAAACAGATCCATTGTTAAGGCATTTTTAACTTCAAACCTTTGCTTCAGGCTAAAATAAACCATAACAACATTTCCTCCAGCGAATAAGTCCATCTCCTGTTGTCTCTCACTTCAAAATCCACACATATATTTGTTCAAAGCTGTTTTGGACTGTTTTGGCTTGTAAACGGTACTTGATCTGTGTATGTTTCTCTCCTGATTCAGACCAGACCACTTTTACACTGGAGGAAGCGTTATTGTGGATTATGGACTCGTATTTTAGCCAGAAGCGGGGTTTTTT